TCCTTTCGCTATAGTGCAGAGGGTACTAATTGGAAGTAGCAATGTGTGTTTTGTTCCTAGTGCTTACATGAAGATGTGAAACAGCTTCTGAGTAAAAGTTGTAGTTCCTATATAATTTGAGTCTTGGCATGTGGTACAGTGTGTGTTGTCCTTGTGTAGAATGTTGAAATTATTTTAATATCTATTCCGACTGGAGTTGGATCCTGTGTTTCTGATTAATTTTCCTAAATTTAATTAAATTTAAATCACCTCTGCTGCTTTCAAGGTTAAATTAAGTAAAGAAGTATTGTGTTCCTTTTATTAACAGAAGAATAAATAAATCCCTAGATAAAGAAGAGATTGATTCTGCAAGAAGCACCATGGGCAGGGGACTCTTTCCTTGGAAATAATAGTCTTATTCTTTGAGAGAGACTTTCCAGAGGAATGGAAGACTACTGTAAGGCTTACCAAAAAAACACGAATGTATTTTGTTTGTAGAAGTTTTTTTTAAGGTTGTATTAGTAGTAAAGATTTTTAAATTCTTTTTCTTGGCTACAGTATGGTTAAATAATTAATCTACATTTGTTTAGCAGTTTTGGCTGCAGGCTGCTTCCACTGCTGTGTAGACAGATCTTAGTTACTGTACTTCAGCAGTACAATAACAAAAAAAGCCAATTATAATAACCAGCAGCAACCATTTCCAAAATACCTACAAGCAGATGGCTTCCCACTTTAAATGTAGTGCTGCCAGTTCTTTGGGATAACTTGATGTTTCCAGATGATCCAGTGTGCTCCTTGTATTTTACCTGAGGTAGATAAAGTGCTACTTTTGCTTTCTTATAACTTGTAAATATTTTACTATCCATTGGTTATGAAACTATCAGCTATGGAGTTAACTGGGGGAAGACCAGTTCCTTCAATGATGTCAGTAAGTTTTCATAGCATCTTTGAATCATGTTAAAAATGAATTGATCTATGAGTTCAGATGATCAACCTACATTACATCCAACAAAACAAACAAAAAAAGAGTTATGTTTAAGGTAGATATCTATTTGCAATTAACGATGAGGAACTTCTGCATATATACAGATGCCAAAGACTTGGTTCAGTAGCTTTATGTTCTGTAGTGATTCTTTTCTGTCCTGAAGTTTTACTTGCTTTTCTCTCAGCTGACTAACTATATTTCAGCTACAAAACCAGTAATTTCATTGATTATTTCTTTAATATGCCCACTGTTCATATTTAGGCAACCTACTGGGAGAGTGCAGATATGCTGTCAGATATCACTGCTAAGAAAGTTTGTACACATGCAGATATGCATGGCTTGTGAGTGTGTACTGATTTACATTTTTAAGGCTTATCATTGTTATTAATCATTTGTGTTGCACCAATAATGTACAAAGTGCAATCTCTGTGTAGATCCTATTCTTATTTTTTATTAATATTTCTAAAGTCATTCATAGTCATTCATTTCTATTTCATTAATGTAATTTCTTCAGTTTTTTTCAGCTGGTGTAGAAAATGCTATGTATACATCAAGAACAGTGAATTGGGATTTAAAGTGTAGCCACACCTTGAGTGGACATTTAGGACTGGTTTTTATCTTACCAAATGCTATTGACGGTTAGAGGTTTTAATAAGCAATTTATTATGTGGTTTAATTATTATCAGCCACTGCTTAGGAGTGAAAGAAGAGAGTAACAAAGTGTTTTTCTGAATGTGTAGCTTTCAAAGGTGAATTACGACAGGGGAAGCCAAAGGGGGTGAAAAAATAGTGGAGAGTACCACAAAAACAAAGATGTCTTTTAATCTTGTAGCATCTCTGAAGCAGAAGTAAATAAAAAATCATTGGGGCCTCGCTTTCTTAAAACCATCTTTTATAAAAGCTTGAAAGTTGAGGACTGCTCACATTGCTTTCATATTATCTGAAATTACTTTTCAAGTATTTTCAGTAGAAGGAGCAATGGTAAGCTCCTTTACATGTTTTTTTTTTAATGGTTGTGTAGTCATTAAAACTTTAGGGACTTGAAGGCTGCTTGGGATACATGCAGAATGGTGTGCTGCCTCTCCCTTTGGCTTGGCAAAGAAATATAGAAGAAGCCTCCAGAAGATCCTCCATTTGCTGATGTCAGAAGCAGCAAAAGGGTCAGAGACCTGAGTGTAAATTTCTTTTACAGTAAAGATGACCAATTATTGTAGGATGAGCACTCCTATTTTAAATGGGGAAGATTAGTTTTGTAACTCACAAAGGTTTCAGGCTTTTTCTTTATCAAGAAATGGTTAGAAAGTTGCATTGAAAATCATTCCTGTAGCAAGGTTTATATATAAATAATAAATATTATATCTTGTTAATCCATATTTTAGCTTAAATCTAGCTCATGTTAAGTTGCCCAAAAATATTGGATTCTTTACAAGAGAAGGTGATGAGCCGTAGTCCCCAAGGAATTAAATTGTGATAACAATCTCAGTTTTGAACATGCTAATACAGACCTGTTATTCCCTTTGTACATCTATCACAACACATTCTAAATTGTGGCTGATCTTCTATGCAAATAGCTGTCTTGTTAGACCCTGGGCTCTGTGTGCCAGTGTCTCCGTGGGTTTCTCAGGCATTTGCTCTGTAACCATCAAAGCAGTGGAAATGAATGATGATTGCTACATCCCTTTGAAGAACAAAGAGGACTCGAGGTTCTAGATGCAAGAGTTGGTGACACTGAGCCATGCCGGCAAACCCGAGTATCTCTGTGGCTTATTTTAAGTCAGGAAATAATCTTTGCCTGTGTTTTCTTCTTCTGTTTTATTGGCATTGCTAAAACTGCAAACATCTTTCACAGCTGATGTTTTGTTATAAACTATTAGTAGACTATGGAAATTGCAAAAGGCAAGTCAAAACAGTCTCTTAACAGTGGCATAAAAAAGCCAAGAACTAGTTTTGCAGTGTAAAAATGTATCTGTTACCTCCTCAATTAGCTGAAATTTCAAATTGTACTTTTATTTTTCTATTCTGATTATTATGATGTGAATGGTATTGAATACAACCCAATCCTGTGAAGTATAATAGAAGGGGAAAGAAATGCAACCCAGTGAATTACAGTTCACTTCAACTGTGTTTTACATAAAACAGGAAGTATTCTCTTAATTGAACCAAAGTAATATATGGAAAAATTAGAGTGCTATAATTGAATTTTCAGTTCAGATTAAAAACTAGTGGCACTCTTCTCTACCTTGCTATTATTCCTGAATACATTTTAAAAAAGGTTGCTGACTTTGGAGCATCCCAGTTCATTTTATGCCATGTGTCCCACAAATGAAATTAAGGAGCCTGGATTTGTCACTTGACATTAAATGCCCGAAATGCATATAGAACAGATAAATATAAAGTAATAAACTTTGTGGTTTTAAAATGCCCAAATAGCTAGCGGGCATCATTCCTGCAGCTGTATTTTAAATCATGTTTGAAGCTATGGAGAAAATAATGGTGGTTGCTTTAAATTTGGGATGCTGGCAGTAGTGTTCAGCAGTGCCATGGCATGCTTTTTGGGTCGTGATTTGGCATCTCAGTGCCTTCCAGGGTTGCAGTTCCCAGAAAGCGTGCCTTGGCAGCGACCAGGGACGCTTGTCTTGCTGTAGCACAGCTGGTTGTGCCTAACAGAAAAGTACAACTCTTGCAGATAACTCCATGACCATATGTGCACAATCTGCGCATGGTTTGTGGCTACCCAGGATGATTCAGCTGAAGTTTGCCCTTGGCATGGTTCTCATCGGGGCCAGTTGGGAAAAGGCAGGGGTTGGCTGCTGTGCATCTTCTGTGCTTGAGCAGTAAATCTGACACTTCTGGAAACGTCAGACCTCTCATGAGTGTGGGTGTTCATGTTGGGACTCCTGTGTTGTAGAGGCAGTCAGATGGTGGGGCTTATCACTGTGGTGAGTCATGCCTTCAGCCCAGCTAAAAGGGCTCAATCCCAGTGTTTTGAGCAATAAGCATGACTGTAACAGCCAGTTATTTCATAATCAGGGAAAAAGAGGTGAAATGAGTGTGTTTGTAGTATCTGCCACTTGAGAGGCAGCCCTTTGAGGCATGAATATAAGACCATAAGCTTTTGCATGTTAAAAGATACATGAGGAATTTACTAGAGCAGTGTTCAGATGGTGCTTGTTCAGTTACATGAATTGTGTGGAATCACCAATATACCAGAAGGAACGTCTTTGTATGGATGATTATGCAGTTCCTTGTGCAGCCATGTGTCACCTCCTTGTGAGGATGTGTGCAACATGACTGTGCAACATGAGAATCCCATTCAAGAGGCTGCATGGTTGTTACTTAAATGCAGTGAAGGTGATTTAAACTATCAATACCATGCCTGAGAGCTGTAAAATGTATGCAGCCCCAGCTCTCAGATTTTATTCTCCATTTCCTATTCATTCACAGATATCTAGAGCCCATGGCAGGAAAATAGGAGAGAGTGGAGTTGCTGTGTTCTAGGTATCTGCTCGTCTGCAGGTGGGTTTCATGAGCAATTTCACCTGTGGATGCACACAGCCTAGTCCTGCCTCTGACTCCTATGTGTGGTGTAAATGTATTTTCAGTAATGGAAACAGCTCACAATTCTACATTCATTCCCTGGTTTACTAAAGAAATAAATTATATAGGAATGTAATTGGTGGTACCAAATGCTGAATTACAGTGGTACCAAATGCTGAATTACAGTGCAATCAGTTTAAATCCTTTCTTTTTTCTTTATTTTCATTCAAACTAACAGGCATTCTGTAATGTTAATAACCCATGCAGTGGAGAAAAAGGTATGTTTAGAATGTATCTAATAGTCTTCAGAATAGTGATGATTAACTCCAGTGTCTCATTGTACTCTGGGAAGGCTTATGTCTTTGTGTATAATCATGTAAATGTTGCTTGTTACCATTTTTCTGATGTTATAAGCAATTGATTTTGTTAGTACGTTATTTAGGAATAATGTTGTGGTTTTTGTTTTGGTTTTTTTTTTTTTTTTTTCTGATACTGACAGTGATTTTTGGATTGAAAACAATGGGTAGAAAAGATGCCTCTACATCAAGGACTCCTGTTGACCAGTACAGGAAACAAATAGGTAAGAGTTTGAAAGAAAAGTTTGTGTGCTTAAAATAAAAACAAAACTTTTTGGTTTTTTTTCCCAGCAAGGCTCACTAGTGTAACAAAACGTAGCATTCCTCTTCAAAAACTTCATTTTGTGTATGCTGTTGAGTAAGTTGTTCAGCTTTCTGGAGACAGTTAAGTGACTTCAGATAAAGTATATGCTGTGTGTTTGGAAACAGTAGGGGAATATTGCAGCGAAGTGGCTTCACAATGTTTCTGAACTATTGGAACTTTCCTGATTCTCCTGTTTGTCTCTAATTTCATATATGGGCATTTTTAACAAGATACTTTCCTCATTCATAACAATTTTTGATACACTGAATGTTACAGACCTTTGCATTGCATAACTGCATTTATTCTCACACTGATGGATATTTTAATTTTTTTCCTTAAGACTTTTTCTATCCTTGACTAATATTTCTTTAGGTAACATGTATACAAAGTATGTACATGCACACATGTACCTTCACATAGATACTCATATAGCAGATGCAAATCCCTTTTTCTTTGCTTAAATGCAAAGGTGAGTTATTTTTGAAATCTCTATATGAGGATTCTGTCTCTGTATGTTAAATAATATAAAGGAGTCAGTATTTTGAAAGTTTATATATAAAATGAAGTACCTTAATCTGTACACAGTTATTTAAGTAAATGACTTTGTTTTACAATTGATAAGCACACACATCTGTTTAAATATGCAGAAAACAACAAATGTCTGCGGGTGGGGGGAAAGGTTGTTTACAATGTTCATTCTCAAGGTGAAAGAGCTAGGGTTGTGGTGACGGTGTTCATAGTAAACTCATGTTTTTTAGATGTGACACATTGCTCTTAAGTTGGCGAAAGCAAGTGTTAAAAATTATTGTAGGGAAGAATCTCATGCTGGCAGGCAAATAAACTACCAAATAACCTAGGAGGTGTTTCTGTGATTGTAATACTCCTTTGTGGACAGAGAGCATGAATAGACTGTGCTCTGCCTTTTGTTCTGACTATGGTTGTTTCAGCTCCTACTCTGGACATTCACTGATACCGCTATAGGGTTTGCCAATGGAAATCAGTTCTCTGAACTTAATGAATGTAAGAGGGGGAGTTTGAAAATGTGTGAATACGATTTTAGACTTAAGTTTTGTAGTTGTGTTTGAGTTTTATGTGTAACCATTTTGGGCTATGTTTTGGCCTGGTAGCTGAGCTTGGTGGAGTGAGCCCTCTAGTCTCATTATGCCATTAGGTGTATTATAGGACAAATAGGTGTATTATTGACGAATATAATCCAATTTGCCCTAATGAATATAAAAGTGGTGTTGTTTTTTGGGTTTTTGTTGGTTTTGGGTTGGTTTTTTTTTTTTTTTTTGTCATTACTGCTTTATTTTTTTGTTCTTATATATAGTTTTGCATAACTGGTAATAATTCATCCATTTGTCACAGGATGGTTAAGGTTGACAGGGACCAGTGGAGGTCATCTCATCCATCTGCCCTGCTCAAGCAGGGCCACCTAGAGCTAGTTGCCCAGAACAGTGTTCAGATGGTTTTTAAATATCTCCAAGGATAGGAATTCCACAGCCTCTCTTCCTGTGTTTGACTATGCTCAAAGTAGAAGATTTTTTTCTTGTTTTTCTGTGTGTGCCCATTGCTAGTCCTGTGACAGGGCACCACTGAGAAGAGCCTGGCTCTGTCCTCTTTGCACCCTCCCTTCAAGTATTTCTATATACTGATGAAATCCTCTTTGAACCAACTCTTTTCTCCTAGGTAAGTTCTCTCAGGTCTCTCAGTCTTTTGTCATAGCAGAGATGCTCTAGATTCTTCATTTTAATTCCTCTTCATTCTTCTTGGCCTGATTTCATTCAAGTACTTATTAGAAATTACACAGAATGATTTTTTTTAAACACAGTCATTCTTTAAGGCTTAGATTTGACGCTTAGGTACTTTTGCAGGGATGTTTTAGTGTGAAGCTCTTGCATAGATGATCCCTCAGAGCACAGAGTGCCCTAATGCTCCAGGCTCAGTTGTTTTGTAGATGGACATTAGGTCACCCTTTCTAAGGCAGATTATGTCTAGAAACAGTAAGCAAAGTGAGGCTGCACAGGACCTGTCTTTAAAAAAAAAAAATTCATCAAATGGATTTAAAGCTCAAAATCCATGCTTGGAGTGATTGCCGGCTTTCTTTTCCAGGCATTTGGTATCTATGGATTGTTGAAAACATTATGATGGATGCTGGCTGAACAGCTATCTCCTGCTGACTAATGGTGTGATGTTATTTTTTAGCTTACAACTTAATGTTTTCTAGCCTTGCTGGATACAAGGTAACCAGATTGAAACATTTTTCATACCTTTTTTTTGATGGAAAATGGCAGCCTTCAAGGAACAACATGTCACAAAGTCATATCAACTTCCAACACAATTTTCAGTTAGATGTTTAGTGGAGTAATTTGAAATAGAAGCAGATTTTTAATTTCATTTTGTTCCAAGCTTTCTGTTTTGTTCTGAGTTTCCATACGGCATGCCACATGTTTGCCCTGTGCCATGGTTCAAGTTCATGTTGATTACTTCAGTTCAGCCGTTTGCCTTTTTCTTTTCTCCATGAGAGCAGGATCACTCGTGTCTTGTTTGCCTCTGTGCCACTAGCAGTTGCTGTTTGCTTCAGTAGCATTTTCAGAGGATTCCCCCAGCACAGAGATTGATACTGTTCTTCCCTGTCAGCTGGCTTTCAGCCATCTCTCCTGTCACCAGCCAAAATTTGTCTGTAGTGCCACTTAAGCTAGTGCTCCAGTATCTGACAGTGGCACTGCCTTCTCAGTGGGGAGCAGAGACAGTCTTTTAGTTACCAGACCAAACTGGCAATGGCTTTGTGAAGCCTAGCCCCAGGTGGACCAGGGACAGCCACAGCAACCTTTTCAAACTGGCTTTAGCTGTGCCTGGAGGAGGGAGGATGGCACCAAGGGATCTCTCCCTGTTCAAATCTCCATGAGCAGCCAAGGCTGTAGAAGAAACCATGAGGAAAAGTAATTTTAACACTTCTTGCTCATCTCTCACTCACAAACCCAAATATGTACCTGTAGTGCAGCAGCAAACAGGGAAGCTCTTTTGCAGAGCATTTCCTTCTCCCTGCTGCTGTTTGTGCTGCTGTGCTTAATTTGCTGGAATCTGAGGAAAGGTGTGAGGCAGTATGCATCCTTCTGCATTTATGCAGCTTTGCTCCACAAATGCTGTGAAAATAGCAACAGGTTTTTTACCATATTTGCTTTGTTTACTGTTATGTGTGCTTTAAGTTCCCAGAACAATTCCACATGTATATTTTCCATCCTTCTTCATCTGGTGTGTCGCTTGCTCGGCATGGAAGCTGCAGGATTTGTGGGTAGTGTTCATGACTTGTGTGATTGTGGGATCCTAAGCAGGCATACTGAGAGGATTATAGCATAACTAAAACCTGGTCTACAAATCAGGAATAGACATACTTTTGGCTCCCATTACTATTGTGTTGCTGTAGCATAATTTTTCATGAGGAGAGGTTGTTTGCCAATCATTCAACCTTCAATTTGTAGACTCAAAGGTCTGCCTATTGTCTGTTCTATATCTCCTGACTTGCCAGCTTGATCTTTTAGGAGCTGGAGCTTATATAGGCATAGCCTGGGGGTTCTTTGGAGCAAATAAGGCTCCTCACATCCCCCTGGGAAAGTGTGGAAGTTATGAATGAAAATATGTTCTCTTTTTGTTTTGGAAAGCACAAAGCTACTTGTTTTGCGGTGACTCGGTGGTGGAGGTGGTGCTCGTTGCCATCACACATGTGGAGCCATGGGGCAGGGAAGGGGACTGGGTAGGAGTCCTGAGTCCTGCTGTGGCAGCACAGTAGAGAGAGCAGTAACCACCTGAACTAACAGATAAAACTTTGTGGGTAAAGCTGGGCCTTTGTAGGTATGTAGGCACACAGTTTGTGGTATTTGGGAGTGGGGCTGCAGCCAGCCTCATCCCTAATGGGCTACAGCTCTGCAAAGCGGGTGAACAGCATTGAAAGCAACGAGACATGGAGTCCTGAGGTGCACTGACCAACAACCAAAGGGAACAGAAAGCACACAGGTACAATGCATGTAAGGTGAAGATTATAAAAGGTTGGGCTAAAGAACAAGAAGGGCAGATGCTTGAAGCCTTCTGAAATTGCCTGGTGGTACTCTGTGTATCGTGAATGTCTCAATTGTGACCTATGTCTGTGGTGTGGAGACTGGTGACCTGTCCAGAAGAAAGGTGTCTCATCCTAGGGCTGAGGCTGTGATGTCACTGAGATAGAGAAGAGCTTGGGGAATAGTGGCAGCATGAACATCTCTGGGGTTCCCACCTCCAGCTACCAGCTGGAGCATGGACCTGTTACCTTCTTGTCTCCAGAGAGAAGCCCTTCTTGTGGCAGATTGCCATTTCTACCTACCCTACTGCTAAAAAGTTGTCTTTACCACCTCAACTTTTCTGTTTTGTGTTACTGTTTACCTTCTCTGTGTTTTTATGGACTTAGTGTACCTCTGTCTTTCTTGTCCTGAGTAGTGCTGTTGTATACTCAAAAAACCTGGCCACTATCAGCCTTCTTTTTCAGATTAAAAAGAGGGAAAATGTTACATTTTGATACTTTTATTTGAAATATGTTGCATACTTTGACATGAAATGGTTGTTTTGGATCAGGAAATGCTTATTATCAGAATGAAAATTTGCGACATAATTTCTGAAATAATAGCAACAGCAAAAAATATTTGGACTGAATTTGTACTGAAAATTTCAAAATGTCCCTGTTTCTCACAAAACAGCAATTCCTCTGTCTTTTGTCTGTAAAGAAAAGGCATGGAATCAGAAGGCAGCACATACATCATGGAGATTGCTCTCCTCTGCCATAAGCAAAGATGTAGCAGGACAGATGTCAATGGAACAAAAATTCTCCAGTCTATTTTTTTAACAAGTCATATTTTTTCCCTTTTTTTAATGTCTGTTGCCTGTTTAATG